CAAACTTTGTAAAACAATACAATGTGAAAAGATGACTGATGATTTAGACTAATGATAATATATTGTTGAAAATGAAAGTTACACTGCATAAAGAAATACAAGCAACGATACCCTTAATGGAAGTAATTAGGGGATAACAACACATGAAAAAGGACTTGGGAATTGTTAGGACAATGTTATAAATAATGTAAAGTAAATATGTCGACAGCAGTGGCCAAGGCCAGTAAGGTATTGTCATGCATGAAAAAAGGCATTCATTCTCGGGACAAGAATATAATTTTGCCTCTTTATAAATCACTGGTAAGACCCCATATTGAATATGCTGTGCAATTTTGGGCACCTGTTCTAAAGAAGGATATTATGGAACTAGAAAAAGTGCAGAGGCGGGCTACAAAATTAATAAAAGGAATGAACATATCAGCTATGAAGAAAGGTTAACCAATTTAAACCTATTTAGTTTAGAAAAATGTGGCCTGAGAGGGGATATGATAACATTATACAAAAATATTCGGGGCCAATACAAACCATTGTGTGGAAATCTATTCACAAACCGGACTTTACATAGGACACGAGGCCATGCGTTTAGACTGGAAGAAAGAAGATTTTGTCTAAGGCAAAGGAAAGGTTTTTTACTGTAAGAACAATCAGGATGTGGAATTCTCTGCCTGAAGAAGTGGTTTTATCAGAGTCCATACAGATGTTCAAACGGCTACTAGATGCATACTTGCAAGAACAGAATATTCAAGGATATAATCTTCAATGTAGGGTAATAACTGCTTGATCCAAGGATAAATCTGACTGCCATTCTGGGGTCAAGAAGGAATTTTTTTCCTAGCTTGTTGCAAAATTGTGCTTAAAACTGGGTTTTTTTGCCTTCTTTTGGATCAACAGCAAAAAACAAATGTGAGGTAGGCTGAACTTGATGGACGCAAGTCTCTTTTCAGCTATGTAACTATGTAACTATGTATAATTTTTTTGTGTTCTATGTCTATGTTATGTATAATGTATGGGAAGGAAAAAAAGGAAAATAGTGATTATTAAAAAAAAAAATATACATATAATTTTGCCTCTTTATAAATCGCTGGTAAGATCACACCTTGAATATGCTGTGCAATTTTGGGCACCTGTTCTAAAGAAGGATATCTTGGCACTAGAAAAAGTGCAGAGACGAGCTACAAAATTGGTAAAAGGAATGGAGCATTTTAGTTGAGAAGAAAGGTTAAAAAAAAAATTTAATCTATTTAGTTTGAAAAAACAGCGCCTGAGAGGGGATATGATAACATCATACAAATATATTCGGGGCCAGTACAAACCTTTATCTGGAAATCTATTCATAAACAGGGCTATACATAGGACACAAGGTCACACATTTAGGCTGGAAGAAAGGAGATTTCATCTAAGGCAAAGAAAAAGTTTTTTTTTTTTTTTACAGTAAAAGCAATAAAGAAATGGCATTCTCAGCCTGAAGAGGTGGTTTTATCAGAGTCCATACAGATGTTTAAACTGCAAGTGGATAAGTACTTGCAAAAACATAACAGGGATATAATTTCTAATTAGTGGGTTAATAGCTGCTAGATTCAAGGAGACATCTAACTTATTTTAAAAATTTTTCATAGTTTGTTGCAAAATTGGAAGTGTTTCAGACAAGTTTTTTTTGCCTTCTTTTGGATCAACAGCAAAAACATATGTGAGGAAGGATGAACTTGATGGACACAAGTCTCTTTTCAGCTATGTTACTATGTCACACACCAACCGCAACAGGTCTCCTTCCCAGGGAGCCTCTGTGCCTGGGAGTTCAGGCGCGGGAAGCCCACCAACCTAGCCAGTGCCTTACAGCGGTACCTTCCTCGACCAGTCTCCGCTCGCAAGGTCCCTGTGTGAAACCCTGCAATGGAAGCGTTTCCTTTTGTGATCTGAATGCTCCCCCTGGAGAGCGTTAATTTTCACGAAATGGCGGCCACCCAGGGGAGCACTCATAAATTACTTCCCTTGCGGTTTCACACTTATGTTGCAAGTGTGAACGTTTTGAGTAATTTGTGTAAAAGTTCTAATGGGGCATCGGGGAGGTCCTTGTTCGAGAGAAAAACAAGCCTGGAAAACACCCACAAATGCTCCCCCTGGTGGGAGTTCGTCTGTACGAATGGCGGCCACCCAGGGAAGCACTCATTAATTGTTTCCCTTGCAATTTGTAGTTTAATACTTCGGTTGCGAGGTGAGAACATTCTAACCCAGCGTTCTAAATGGGGTATTGGTGTGGTCCCTGTTCGGGAGGCGAATGGCTTCCCTTCGTGAAAGCACTCCCAAACGTGGAGCGGGCAGAAAACACGAACATACAGGGAAAACACATGAAAGGAAAAGGGAAATCCACGAACAGTCAGCGGTTCTGCCACAGACAGATAAATGGACATAAAAATGATACTGGAAGCCGAAGGAGCTGATGCGTTTACCAAGTTAGGCATTGTAGATTGAGAACAATAGAGGACCAGAGACAGACCCTTGGGGAGCACCAACAGAGAGGGATTGTGGAGAAGATGCAGAGAAAGAAACACTGAATGAGCGCTGGGAGAGGTAGGAAGAGCACCAGGAGAGAGCGGTATCTCATAGACCGAGATTACGGAGGATGAGAAGAAGCTGTTGATGATCAACAGTGTCAAAAGCAGCAGAAAGGTCAAGGAGAATTAGGATAGAGTAGTGGCCATGGGATTTTGCAGTGATGAGATTATTGGATACTTTGGTCACAGCTGTTTCAACAGAGCGTCTAGAGCGCGGATTCGAGGAAGTCTGTCAATCTCACATACACAACTATCTCAAGGATCTTGAAAACAAACGGCAGTAGGGAGATAGGGCGGTAGTTGGACGGGGAATTAGGGGTCAAGGTTGAGCAGAAACCTGGAGTGTGGTTAGGGGAAAAGTTGGTAGTGGATGGAGAGAGATGAGAGATCGCTTCCCTGATTGTGGAAATCTTCTCAGTGAAGGGAGTTGCAAAGTTTGTGGCGGTCACGTTGGTAGGGGAAGGAGGCACGACAGGGAAAACTCAGGTATGGTGAGTTTTTTATTGAGTGGTGGGTCTCTAGCCTTTATAACAGCCAAATCATCATAATTGTATGTTCTGTTCTCCACAACATCTTGGAGAAGCTATTAGTAATGAGACCAGATTTACATCTTTCCCATCTAAAATATCCTTACAGAGAGCCGGAGGGACCATGTGTGCTGGGGTAATTACGTGGGCAGTGGGGGGGGGTGTGAGAGGTGAGGCTGGGGGCCTACCCTGTGAGTTGGTAGGCGTTTGCTTGTGCAGACCCTATGGGAGGAGGATCTATGCGAGCCGGGCTGGCGTTTTCCAATTTAGTCAGTCTATCATTAATGGACTGAAGAGATGACAGGATGGTGCTTAGAGTTCCTTGTATGCCTGAGCTGTGCCCCTGTGACCTGGTACCCAGCCCAGGATCCTCAGGATGCGCTGTAAGTACCTTGAAGAGATCGGCTTTCCTTGTAGTAGCTGGGAAAGGGATTTCCCTTTGGCGCAATTCAGCCGAGGATAGTCCAGGGATAGTCCAGGATCTTAAAGAGCCTGGCATGGATGGTTCTTAGAATTCCCTGGGGGTACCATGTCTAATAGGGGTGTTAGGCCTAGCGGGTGTGCTAGGGAGGGATGATTCTTCTCCTATGTTGGCTTCTTTGGACATACTGCAAAAAAGAACAACACAACAACAATCATCTGATTAATGAAAACACTGCGGAGCTTATGTAGAATTTGCTGGCTGTTACAAACTCATTACAGACCAGCGTTATGTTGTTTTGTTGTTATACTTTTGCTTCGGTACATGAATCCTGTACCCAACGAACGGATTACTCACACCAATTTGTTGCACGAATAACGGACCACCCGATCCCTGGTGTGTGCTGCCACTTAACCCAGGTCACTCGGCGAGGGAGTTGCGGTCTGCGGTTAACCACAGGTTAATTGATGGTCCCGGGCATCCGCATTCGTGCCTTATCTCCCGATTGTCTAACTACCGAAAGGGGCACGAACAGGGACCACCTACATGCTGGCGTGTGGCCCCAATTAAAATGTTGAGTGTTGCGGTTAACCGCAGGTTAAGTACCCCCCTCACGGCGGTCTACGTTCGTCTCCCGAACAGCGTCTCCCGAACATCCTGCCAGAGAGCGGGGATTCGTGCACAACTCTGGCCATTAATTGTTCCACAAGTTTGATGCCGAGGTCCCGCTGCCTATTGACTCACTCAAAAACATGGCCGCCATCTCAAGCTCAGGGACCAAATATGCGAACGGACTTTGCATCGAAGAAACCAAGCATATGGTTCATGGGTTTGAAGCGCTATTCGGTGAAATATTGTACATGGACCTGGGCTACAGAATGAATGGTAGAAGTCCCGAAGTATAGCTGAAAATGTTGAAGTTATATATTTTTAACCTGTTTTTGATGTGTAATAAAAACGTGGTATTTTGAGCGCTTGGAGATAATTGTATTGGCATAGCCGTTGGGTTCATTATCTCCAAGCTGGGCGGTAACAAATTCAAATGATGCATTTCATCCACTGGTTGATCCACTGTATTATTCCTGTATCCCATCAGGTCCAGAGGGGGGCTGTCCCTGGACTTGAGATTTTGCATAAATACCGACCCCTGTGTGCCATTAAAGTCAGTTCTTGTTTGACCTTCAAATCGCAGCCTCGACTCGTTTTGTGGGGAAAAGAGTATCTTAGCTGTACTATAGCTAGTGGGATTGTTCTACATTTACAGGATCCTTTTGGTCGACTAGTCGAAGCGGCTTCTCCCTCTCTCCACACCAGGATCCAGATCATCCAAGCGGTCCAGCGTCCAGCAAGCCTGGATTTTCCTAGGAGAGATACCGAAAGGATGACAAATTGAAACGCACGACCCTAAAAGACTTACTCTAAAGCCGAGGGGGGAACGCCAGCAACCGTCCGAGGAAGGAGCTGATCGCAGAATTAACCGAACTGGATCAGAGCTTCACAATGGCAGAAACCCCAACCATGAGTAGTGACGAAAAGACCAGGATTGTTCTGGAGAGGCTTTCACTATATGGGCCGAACCCCTCTATGGAACTGGTGCAACAACTGATGGCGGAAGCAGACGAGGACATACGGAAAGCTAGAGCCCACGAGCTCAACACAGTGACCGCACAACGTCACGCTGAAGCATTACCGATCGTAATTCCTGCAGAGAATAACGGGAGGCCAAAAATACCCTATGCGGCTTTTAGACCCTTCCTGGAGAACGAGAAAGGAATTTACGAATATTTGGCCGATTTTGAGCAGCAATGCGCACTGCACCAGATCCCCAACCAAGAGTGGCCTACGATATGGTCTGTAAAGTTATCCGGGCGAGCACTGGAAGCGTTTCGGACTTTAAATGCTGAGGAAGTGACCCAGTATACGCAGGTCAAGGACACACTTCTGCGACAATACGCTGTGACTCCTGACATGTATCGCCGACAATTTCGTAGCAAATGGAATGGGCACACCGAATGCGAAGGGCAGCAAATCACTGGATGAGCGGGAGTAAAGCCGTGACTACTGAGGAAATTTTGCAATTATTTCTGCTGGAGCACTTTTATAATGGCATGGAGCAACAGGGAAAGGAATGGCTGCGAGACAGACAACCTGCCATTTTGGAAGAAGCGGCCAAGTTGGCCGACGAGCATTATGATTCCCGTTTGCGCGAACCGACAAACTACCGAACTGTGGCACGAGTCGAACACAGGGATAATTATCGTAAGTCTCCCCCACCGATTTCCGAGCTCCGGTACCCGCTGGGCCCATACGGTACTCAGGACCACAAACTAACAACGCCTCTGATCATGACCAATGTGTTTCAGATGCAAACAACCAGGGCATCTCATGGCAAGCATGCCTTCTCAACACACATCAGACCTCCCGGAATTATAACTACCCTCCCGGATCATCTCGTCCTGCCAGGGCACTCTGTGTGAACCAAGAGGCCCCTATGGAGGAATATTTGGGACAACTCCACGAAGCTGATCCGGTATATGCCGCTTCAGATAATCGCCAACACCACTGGCAGAAGGTATGGCTCGAGGGTCGCCCCACCGAGGGGCTACGGGACACTGGTGCTACTATTACACTGGTCCAGAGCCAATTGGTGCCGGAACATAAACGATCAGCACAGACTGTGACTGTTAGAGTGGCGGGCGGAGATGTCTATAAGACTCCTACCGCTAAAGTACATCTTGATTGGAGAGCGGGGCAAGGGGCCGTGAACGTGGGCATAATGGATAATTTGCCTGTGGAAGTATTACTGGGCAACGATTTGGGCCCCATGACTTCTTCCTATGCTCCAGTATACAACAATGAAGTGGATCCGGTGACTACTCAAGCACAAGCCCAGACGCAGCGAGAACCCTCACCCGTGTGGGAGACACAGGTAAGACTTACCCCGAGCTGGACTGACCCCTTAGGTCCCATCCCCTGGGACACCCCAACTACTTTTGAGACCAAGTCTAAGACCTACCCGATCTTGGAAAAATACAGAGAAAGGGCAGAGACAGGAGGGGGCGGGCTAGATAATGAAACATTCTTATGGGAAAAAGGGAAGCTGTATCGCTTGACTGAGAAATGGGGACAGAATAGACGACAGCTGGTAGTGCCCCACAAATACCGCCAAGAAATACTGAGGGTAGGACACAACATTCCGTTAGCAGGCCACCTAGCTGTGACCCGCACACTTAACCGCATCACCCACACATTTTTTTGGCCAGGGGTACACGCTGATGTCCGAACCTATTGTAGTACATGCGATGTGTGTCAGTGAGTAGGGAGGAGAGGTGACCACCCTAAGGCACACTTGGTGAATATGCCCATTGTAGAGGAGCCATTCAGCAGGGTTGCCATAGACTTAGAAGGGCCACTGGCTACCCCTAGTCCCCCCGGTAAGCGATACATCCTGACCGTAGTAGACTACGCTACCCGGTACCCAGAGGCGGTAGCCCTATCTAACATTCAAGCGGATACGGTAGCGAATGCGCTGGTGCAGGTTTTCTCTCGGGTAGGATTCCCAAAGGAAATCCTGTCTGACCGAGGCACCCAGTTTACAGCCGAATTGACACAGCAACTCTGGCAAGTCTGCAAAATTAAGTCTCTCCTGAGCTCTCCCTAACACCCACAGACAAATGGGCTTTGTGAGAGGTTCAATGGGACCCTCAAACAAATGCTCAAAACGTTCACTCAGGAGTACAGAGACTGGGAACGGTTTTTGCCGCACCTCCTATTTGCTTATCGGGAGGTGCCCTAGGAAACGACAGGGTTCTCTCCCTTAAAGTTGCTATATGGACACAAGGTACGGGGACCCCTAAACCTGATCCGAGAGCACTGGGAGGGAGAGATAGAGAATGACGGTGTCCCCATTGTACCATATGTGCTAGAACTCCAGGACCGAATGGAGCAATTAGCCAAATCCATTCAGGCTAACCTCCAGTCGGCTCAGAGGAGACAGAAGGTATGGTATGATCGGGGGGCACGGAAGAAAATCTTTACCATAGGGCAAAAGGTATTGGTACTTAAGCCGGTTAAGACAGACAAACTACAAGCCTCCTGGCAGGGGCCCTACCAAATAGTAGAAAAGAGGGGAGACACCACTTACGTGACAGCTAGCTGCCATGACAACAACCTTAGAAAGATATTCCATGTAAATATACTCAAAGAATATTTCAAGCGACCTGAGAGCGTGACAGCGGTATGCTGTCCCCCCCACGAAGACCCCGACAGCCTACCCATACCGGACTTATTAGAAAGGACATAGTGTCCCAAGTCAAGACAGGAGACCGACTTATCCCCACTGAAAGGGAGCAGCTTAACCAGCTACTTCAAGCCAAAAGCCCCACTTTTTCTCAGAAACCTGGATACACTACTTTGACCACCCACCAGGTGGATACCCCAGGGCAAACCCCCTTACGGCAGGCACCATACCTAATTCCAGAGGCAGTTCGGACAGAGATGAAAAAGGAGATCTAAGAGATGCTCCAACTAAGGGTCATTGAGTCTTCCGATAGCCCATGGGCTTCCCCAGTGGTCCTAGTGCCCAAGAAAGACGGGACTACCCGGATTTGTGTTGACTTACGGAAATTTAATTAGAAAACCGTGACAAACGCATACCCGATGCCCAGAGTAGACAAGCTACTTAATCGAATAGCCAGGGGAAATTATCTAACTACCATTGACCTCTGCGAGGGTTATTGGCAAATTTCTCTGGCCCAGGAGGCTATCCCCAAGTCGGCATTCGTCACCCTGTTCGGATTATACCATTTAAAGGTAATGCCGTTTGGTATGAAGAATGCCCCAGCTACATTCCAGCGCTTGGTGGATAGGCTCCTGGATGGATTCCAGAGTTTTGCTTGCGCATATCTGGATGATATAGCGATCCACAGTGAGTCCTGGGAGGACCACCTAGCTTCCTTAGGAATGGTTCTGGATCAGATTCGGGCCACCGGCCTGACCCTGAAGCCAGAAAAAGGCCACTTTGGGATGGCCGAGGTACAGTACCTAGGTCACCGAGTGGGGTGTGGGAAACAACAACCAGAACTGGCTAAGATAGAAGCCGTCGCCAACTAGCCCACGCCCACCACTAAGACCCAGGTTCTAGCCTTTCTGGGCATGGCAGGTTACTACAGACGGTTTGTACCGGACTACAGCACACTTGCCAAACCATTGACTGACATGACCAAGAAAAACTTTCCCAGACAGGTCCTGTGGTCTCCCCACTGTGAAGCGGCTTTTCAGGCTCTCAAACATGCACTTGTTAACGGCCCCAGCACTTAAACGTTTTATCGTCCATACAGATGCTTCCATGTTCGGGCTGGGAGCTGTCCTCAGTCAAGTAGGCGAAGACGGAGGGGAGCACCCGGTTGCCTACATCAGCTGTAAGCTCCTGCCACGCAAAGTCAGCTATGCCGCAGTAGAGAAGGAGTGTTTGGCTCTGGTATGGGCACTAAAGAAACTGACTCCCTATTTGTACGGACAAGAGTTCACTCTAGTTACAGACCATAACCCGTTGGTATGGCTAAACCGGGTCTCTGGGGATAATGGCAGACTTTTACGGTGGAGTTTGTCACTGCAACCTTTTAACTTCACCATTACCTACAGACCTGGAAAACAGAATGGCAACGCAGACAGGTTGTCCAGACAAACAGACCTCAGCACAACATAACCGTCAGCATGGTCAGCCTTAGTCTGCCCCGAAAAGGGGTCAGACGGTGTCTGCCAGAGTGTTCCACAAAAAGGGAGCACTGTTACAAACTCATTACAGACCAGCGTTATGTTGTTTCGTTGTTATACTTTTGCTTCGGTACATGAATCCTGTACCCAACTCACGAACGGATTACTCACACCAATTCGTTGCACGAATAACGGACCACCCAGTCCCTGGCGTGTGCCGCCACTTAACCCTGGTCACCCTGCAAACAACCGAACAAACCGACTACCCGGCGAGGGGAGTGTGTTGCCACTTGATCGCCCAGGGAGTTGCGGTCTGCGGTTAACCGCAGGTTAATTGACGTCCCGGGCATCCGCGTTCGTGCCTTATCTCCCGATTGTCTAACTACCAAAAGGGGCACAAACGGGGACCACCTACAGTCTTGCGTGTGGCCCCAATTAGAATGTTGAGTGTTGCGGTTAACCGCAGGTTAAGTACCCCCTTCACGGCGGTCTACGTTCGTCTCCCGAACAGCTGAAACATCCAGCCAGAGAGCGGGGATTCGTGCACAACTCTGGCCGTTAATTGTTCCACAAGTTTGATGCCGGGGTCCAGCTGCCTATTGACTCACTCAAAAACATGACCGCCATCTCAAGCTCAGGGACCAAATATTCAAACGGACTTTGCATCGAAGAAACCAAGCATATGGTTCATGGATTTGAAGCGCTATTCGGTGAAATATTGTAGAAGTCCCAAAGTATAGCTGAAAATGTTTTTGATGTGTAATAAAAACGTGGTATTTTGAGCGCTTGGAGATATTTGTATTGGCATAGCCGTTGGGTTCATTATCTCCAAGCTGGGCGGTAAGAAATTCAAACGATGCATTTCATTCTGATTGGTTGATCCAATGTATTATTCCTGTATCACATCAGGTCCAGAGGGGGTTTTCTCTGGACCTGAGATTTTGCATAAATACCGACCCCTGTAGCCATTAAAGCCAGTTCTTG